AGTCCTTTCCCCATGGCTTGCTTTTGTTAGCTTTGTCAAAGATCAGATGGTCATAGGTGTGTAGCCTTATTTCTAGCCTCTCTATTCTGTTCCTTTGGTTTATATGTCTGGTTTTGTACCAGTGCCATGCCTTTTTGGTTACTGTAGCCCTGTAGTATAGTTTGAAGTCAGGTAACATGATGAGTCCAGGTTTGCCCTTTTTGCTTAGGATTGCCCTGGCTAATTGGCCTCATTTTTGCTTACATATGAATTTTAAAATAGTTTTTTTTTGCAGTTTGATAAAGAATGTAATTGGTAGTTTGATAGGAATAGCATTGAATTTCTAAACTGCTTTGGGAAATATGGCCATTTTAATGATATTGATTCTTCCTGTCCATGAGCATGGGATGTTTTCCCATTTGTGTCATCTCTGATTTCTCTGAGCAGTGTTTTGTAATTCTCTTTGTAGAGATCTTTCACCTCCTTATTTAGCTGCATTCTTAGGTATTTTATTCTTTATGTGGCAATTGTGAATGGAATTGCTTTCCTGATTTGGCTCTTGGCTTATCTATTGTTGAATACCAACTTAATTTAATAGTATACAAATCCTAGCCCTTTACAACTCTGTTGCCCCCTTTATTCTGTTATTGTCACACATTACATCTTTATACATAGTATACACCTTAATGTATATTTATCATTGTGGCTTTATGCATTTTTGTTTTAAATTAGATAGTAAATAAAAAAGTTTTAAAAAAACTAAAACACAGTATTGTTTGCTTTTGTAGTTACCTCTGTAGTTACCTTTACCAGTGTTTTTTGTTTCTTTGTATAGCCTGGGTTACAATGAGTGCCCTTTCAGTTTTTCTGGAGAATGCCCTTTGGCATTTCTTGTACAGAAGTTCTACTAGTGATCAGCTCCCTCGGTTTTTGTTTATCTGGGAATGCCTTATTTTTTCTTTCATTCTTTGAAGTATAGTGTTGCTGGATGTAGAATTCTAGATGTAGGTGGACAGATGTTTTTATTTTCCTTTTAGCAATTTAAATATGACATTTCACTGCCTTCTAACCTCTGTGGGTTCTCAAGAGAAATAAGCTGTTAGTCTTATTATTTTTTTTGTATGTAAAAAATCACTTTTTCTGCTTTCAAGATTTTCTCTTTGTCTTTTGACAATATGACTATAATGTGTCTTAATTGTGGATATCCTTTAGTTTATTCTATGTGGAGTTCATTGCACTTCTTGGATGTCCTTAAATTCTTATTTTTTACCAAATGTGTGAAAGTTTTTAGCCATCATTTTTTTCAAATACTATTTTTGTTTTGTTCTCTCTTTCTTCTCACTTTGGATGCCCTGTTATGTTTGTGTTAGTATGTCTGGATATAGGCTATATATTAGAGTGTAGGCTTTATTATTGTATATATTAGAGTGTAGGCAGCTGTCCTCACAGCCTCTGCTGATCTGGGATGTGGAAGATGACAGGCAGCCAATTTAAAATGTCACAGTGTCTTCTTACTACAAAGTTCAGTTCTTTTCTTCACCACGTCTTCCTCTCTGGTTGTTGTAACAATTTTACTAGATTCCAGAGTTCTTCAAAAGTTTCTTCTGACAGTTTTTGCCAGCTCATTAGTTGCTTTTGAAGAGGGATGTAAGTCTGGAGTACTCTCAGTTTGGGTGTTCAACATTATTCATTCTGAGGTTAAAACATAAAAATATCTATCATGTAATTCTACTTGAAAGGTAGAAATTCTTCAAAGAGAGAAGAAATAAAAACTGATCCGGCAGAAGAAAACAGAAGAAACATTTTCTAGAAACCAAGTTTCTCTAGAAGTAAAAGGTATGCATTCAAGCCTATAGGAATCATGGTATTACCACATCTAAAATAGTTTTATGTCATTCATATGACAAACAGTTAAATGTATCAGACTTGACCAGTAACTTATTGTAACAAACTCCTAACATAATACCAATGGTTTTTAAACCTAACTCAAAAATACCTGCTGAGGTTTGCAAATATAAATTTCTGCACCTCTACCTAAAGCTTTGTTATGTGAAGAGAGCCCTGGAATCTATATTTTTATTATGCTTCCTAAGTAAGTATTAAGATCATCCAGGTTTGAGAAGGATTGCCTTAAAAGTTAATGAATGCCTGTTGTGAGTAATTTTTTCAAAGCAGTAAATAAAGACTGGCCTGATTAGCTTTCTTTCAACAGAAAATACTCAGAAATGTGTCTCGGTTCCCTATTTCAAATTCTTTTCTCTCTCCTAACCTAGAATCTGAGAAACAGCTAAGTGAAAAAGGCGGGGGTGGGGGGGGTGGAATAAAAGTTATTTATTTTGACATTGAATAAATTATTTAAAAACCATCATATGTAACTCTGGGAACCATAACATTTTTTAAAAATCAGACTTCTTTTGTCCTAAACTTGTTGTAAAATGTAATCTGACTAAATGATTTCTTTTTTGTAGAAAAATGATAATAAATTGCTAATGATAATTAAGTACTTATGTGCAAAGCACCCAAGTGCTTTACACATATTTTGTTACTTAATCCTTATAAAAATCTGATAACATAAACAATTTTATTTTCATTTTACAAGTGAAGAAACTGAGGCACACAGTGATTAATTAACTTGACCAAGGTCACAGCATAAGTGTCTAGAGCCAAAATATGAATACATGCCAAAGTATATGCTGTACATCATTATAATAAACTCCTTTCTCAAACATGTCATTAATTCTAAAAGATCTTCATGTTGTAAGTGAGCACTCATCTCACTGGACTCCTTATATATTTTCAAACTTCGTACTCTCACAAATCCCTTTTGAACTGTACTAATTCTGTGGCCACTAGCCACATGTGGCTAGTAAACACTTGAACTGTGTCGTCTGGACTCAGATGTACTGAAAGCATTAAATATACACCAGCATTCCAAAACTTAGTTAAAAAAAAAGAATATAAACTATTTCAATATTTTTTTATGTGGCTAACATATTGAAATAAAAATGTTATGATATATTGGTATAATATATTTTTAAAATTAAGATCACTTGGTATTCTTTAGCTTAAAAATGCTCCCATTAGAAAATTTAAGCTACCTGGCTCACATAATTTCTATTGGATGGCACTGCTGTAGAGTTTCTTCCATGTCCTTTCTATGATTGTTGACCATTTCCATCTAGCCCCATATTAGGATTTTTCTACTTGTACATTTCTGTGAACCCTTCAATATGCACCTATTTAAAGAATTATAAACTACGCTTTAGTTTTAACACCAGTTGTCTGTGATGAAAAACCATTCCATATACACCACCCTTTCTTAACTTTTCTCCATACCTACTTGCAAATAATCCGTAAATAATGAAAGAAAAATGGAGAGGCAGTGTAAAAAGCTATTTGATGATAACTCTGATCATTTAGCTCCCTAGTAGTGAATGAAACTTGAAGAAACAGAGCAGTGTGTAATTACATGTATCACCACATCACTCTAAAATCTGCATGGCAAGTTACCCATAGAATGGCTAAATGTACAAATTTTTCCCTTAGACTTCCTTACTTCCTACACAACTTCAGAGGTAATAAAGACTTTACAAGTCAAGCCCACTGTGAAACTAATGTCTGAATGTTCTTTACATTTCCAGGTGTATATAACGGGAAATACTTTTTCCCTAGGTTGCTCGTTGTTGTCATCGTCATTATTGTTGTCATCATTTTTTCTCATACAGAGCTAAAATGTGTTAACATGCATCTTTAACCTATTGGTTCTATTTCTGCCCTCTGCTCTTGGGTCATATAAACCAATCTCATTTGAACTTAAAAGGTCTGCAGTTACTTACAGATAGCTGTTCCCCCCGCTGTAGAACAGCTGACTCCCACTGGCTCCCAGTTCTTCTTCTGTATAAACATGTCTCATCCTACTATCTGCAGGTACTAAGTAATCTTCCCTAACCCACAGTGCTTTAGCAAGTAGCCAAGCAAATGGGAGTTAAAACCTCCAGTTCTTGTTTAGCAGCAAGTGTTCAGCCAAGGATAGGAAACATACCAAACAGCAATTTATCAGCTACTCCTTATTAATATTGGTCTCCAAGCAACTCAGCTTTCCCTCTCACTTCATTTTAAAGTTTTTTAAAAAACAGATGTTACTAGCCTGATTTAGGGCATAGTGGAACCAATGCAGCCATGCACCATGCATGTATAAAATCATGAAGTCTCAGGTTGACTGATCAATACTTCTTGTTGCCACTTCCATTTGTACTGTGAAAGTAGAGTATGTGACTTTTTCAAGCATTCTTAACCAGTATTGATTGTTTACCTGGAAAACAACAACAAGGAGTTAGTATCAGTCTTCAGGCATGTTTATTAGAAAAAAAAAAAAAAAACGTTGTCTGGTCAGATTTTTAACACAGATGAAATGTAACCATTGTAACAAACCCATTTAAATAATCATTAAAAGGAGAATTTTTAAGACTCAGTAAAATAGACCTATATGTGAAGAAAAAAAAAAGAAAGTATGACTGATGAAAGATCTGAGGAAATAGCCCCTAGAACATAGTCTCATTCTGTTTAGACTTTTTCCCTATTTTTCTGATCCTTAACTATTGATCATTTTGTATGAAAGCCATCTTTTGTTTTGTTTTGTTTTTTTAAAGAAAGCATGTTTACATATGCCTTTTATTGCTGGATCTTTACCTGGCTTGTTAGAGCCCAATGGTGAAAGAAACATTGAAAATCATCTTGATTAAACAGCTTGTCACAATTGAAAGCCTTGCTGAAGGTTTAAGATGAAGGAAGATAGCAAAGGATGGAATGTAATTATCCTTGCCTTCCCTCATCTTTGGCTTGTGGTTTTCTAAAGTACTATTTTATAAATTACTCCAATGATGCTGTGGAAAGTGAGTCAGACAAGATTTTTAAATATAACTAATTTATCTCTCTCTCCCTTCTCTCATCTATCTCTGTCTCTCTGTTTCTCTTGCTTTCTTTCCTCTTGCTCTCTCTCTCATTCCTTTCTTTCTTCACAGTGACTGTTTTGAGCCCAGCAGAAAAAGGTAAGAGGGTGTTGTAAATTGTATTGATCAGGACTGTGTACTTCTTTTCATCTAAAAGTAAATTACATAAAAGCCTATAGACTGAGCAATTTTCCCAGGAATACACTTAGGTTAAGAGAAAGTTTAGAATGATGGTTTTCAGGAAGCTTGCCCAGCAGAACATTTTCAATGACCCCTTTGGCTGTAGGACAAGAATGGAAAATTATCAGTATTTATGATAGAGAAGGACACAGATAAGACTCTGACACAGTGACTCTAGGCTGTCTCTTTCTTCGTCACTGTTGTCCTAGGTATGTTGCCTTTCTGCCCAATCCATTTCTTCTTTAAGGCATGGAGTAAAGGCCCCAGATGGGACTTTATAGTCTAACTCCTTCACTGTCACAGTTCCGGTAAATTCATTGTGCTTCTCTCCACTCCTCACCACCACCTCAGCTTGACCAGCAAAATATACTACCTTTCTAAAGAAATTGTGGCATTTTCCATTTTAAAAAGTGTAAGCTAATCATTAGCATAATAAACCTTTAGCTTTACATTATTTTATCAGTAATAACCATGAGTGTTTATGTAGCCACTTTATATAGCCACTTTTAATTCTAACTTCGGGGAATTAATTGTTATAATTTGTTAACCTACCTAGCATTCATATTATACTATTTTCTTCCAACTCTGAAAATGTATGAAATTAACATAAATTAAGTCAACATCATATTAAGGAGATAGAGGAATTATTGGTGGCATCAGTAAAATGTAATACATTTTGAGGGTATCACGTTGTGATTGGTAGAATTCCTTACACTTGCTCAGCCAGCAGAGAAGTAGCTTACAAATCTCTACTCACCATACAGGCAATAGAAATTCTCTGTTTTTGTTTTTGTTTTTGTTTTTTCAGTCTTCTGTGAATATTCCTGACAACTTGAATGCATTGGGCTGTACTTAATCCAAATTATAAATGCAGAATAGTAATATCTCAACTATCCGTTTTAAACTGGGAAAGAAGCCAAAGATTATTCCCCAAGGGATATTGGCCTGTATACTTTCTTATCCCCAAGATCAATGAATCAGTGAAACTTGGGTCAGCATTATCAACAAGAAGACTAAAAATAAGCTTTTTTTCCCTTAATTTTTATTTTTTTTTAGAGACAGGGTCTCACTATATCACCCAGGCTTGAGTGCTGCAGTGCCATTATAGCTCACTGCAGCCTCAAATTTCTGAGCTCGAATGATTTTCCCACCTCTGCCTCCCAAGTAACTGGAACTACAATCACATGCCACCATGTCCAGATAATTTTTTTGTAGTGATAGGGTCTTACTTTTTTGCCCAGGCCAATCCTCCCACCTCAGCCTCCCAAAGGGCTGGGATTACATGTGTGAACCACTGTGCTTGGCCCATTTTTTCCTTTTTTAACAAAACCATGGTTCATCTGCTCACAAAGTCTGTGTAATTTTTATCACCGTGTCTCAGAAAACAAATCACTAAGATTTAAGAGGAAGTGAGAGGAAGAAACAGGTTTATTAAGTACTTAGAGAATGTCAGATACTTTCACACACTTAAGTCAATTACCACAACAACTTTGACAAGCAGGTGTTTTAATCATACACACACACATACATACATGTGCTCATATATGTACATATATGATTATCAGCAAGGTTAACCAGCTTCTTGAAGACCCATAGTTATTAAGGGCAAATCTAGAGTTCAAAACCTAGTCATCTTGGTTCCAAATCTATTGTATTTTGCACAACACCTCAATGCCCCAAACAGAACAAAAAGTAGAGACCTTGTCAGCATGGAACAAACAAAATCTGAAAGGGACTATCATTAAAGTTTATAAACATAAGAAGTTTATGTATTTTGTTAGATTGATGTCATTCACCAGATTCCAATACACAGGAACTAGAAAGCTCTTTGAAACTTAACACTGCTGTTTAAGACAACTAATATGAAGCCCTGCTTTGCACAGTGCCTGGCAAACTTATGAAACTCATTATTCCCAGATAATTGATAATCCAACCAGCTTCATAGAAGGTTTATGTAAATTGGTGAGTAGTAGAGGCCTAATGGATAATTAGAAGAAATTAGGATACCTGGAAGATAACCCAAATTTTTGAAGTGGATATCAATAAGGAAAACTAGCCCATTTTAAAGATAATATTGTGTATTAGCACTAGAATTTGATTGCAGCATTAGAGATACTCCCAGCTGGTAGCCAGCTAAACATTGGACACAACTCTTGAGAAAATCTTGAATGCTAGAGGGTAGCTAAATCACGGAAACAACTCTTTTTAAAAAATATTTTCAACTTTTCTTGTAGATTCGGGGGTACATGTGCAGGTTTGTTAGCTGGATATATTGCATGATGGTGAAGTTTGGGGTATAATTGATCCCATCACCCAAGTAGTAAGCATAGTACCCAATAGGTAGTTTTTCAACCCTTGCTCCCCAACCCCCCACAGCAGTCTCTAGTGTTTATTGGAAAACAACCCTTGAACAATTCTTGTACTGTCGTGAGAATGAGATCCTTGGGCACACCTTATGGGTCTCTTTCCCATTATCTTTATTCCTTTAAATAGTTGAAAAACAAGGTCTAACTTTTTGTTAGAGTTGGTAAAACAAAGAAAGTAAAGTGAAACAGTGAACTCAAATATTAGAATTAACACCTCATTGCTAAATATTATGCTGAAAGAGAGATGTGACTGTCTAGCTGACAAATTTCCCCTTGGTCTGCATCTTAATAACCCTTCTGGGTGGCTTTGATACAAACTGAAATTTGGGAATCACTGCGCTAAAGAAAAGCACTCTGGACTGGGACTGAAGAAACTTGGATTCTGGTTCCATTGCTTCCATAACTTTGCTGGGTAATTCTGATCAAATAACTTGCCCCTCTGGGCCTCAGTTACTTCTCTGTAAAATGAGACTGCTGAACCAAATAATCTCTCTGGTCTCGCCATACTCTAAAATATTGGTATAGTTCCTATTTTACCAGTCTATAGAATGACCTCAACTTAGTCATTCAACTTCAAAATACTTCATTTTCTACCCATTTATTTAAAAGTACCCATAATTTCTATGAAATCTTGTAATATAGGAATGGGAGCCAGCTGTTTCCAGTTCCATGATTGAAATAGTTGGTGTGTAGTAGTACCTGGAACATGTTAAAGTGCCATACTTCCCATCCCAATCATTGGAATTACAAATATAGTTAATGTCCCTAAGATACTGCCAAATGTTAGTGTTTAGTTCTCAGTCACTCAGGTGATCCAAATTGGTTAATTGCATTACCCTTGAAGTGTATAATGAAAGGGTAAACATGAAATTGTTTTCTCCTGATCTCTTTAAAAATCAAAGATTTCATGCTCCAATTCCATACTGAAGAAACATGGATTAACATAACTTAGTCATATAATTTTCCCCATACAAACCTCAGAAAATCAAAGAAAACAAAATAATAGCAAAAGACAACACATTAAAAACTCATTTAAAACATTGCTTAAGAGAAAAAATTATGATAACATTTCACAAAGGCTAGACTAGAGACAATCCCAGGGGGTAGCCAGCTAAACATTGGATGCAACTCTTGAAAAAATCTTGCATTCTAGAGGGTACTGGAAGAGTCACTCTCACTTATTGATGATGAGAATATAAATTAAATACAAATATTCTTAATGGCCATTTAGCAGTATCTACCAAAAGACATCCCTTTTGACTTTGCACTTCAGAGAATTGATCCTATAGATATTGTTTGTGCATGTGCTGATGACATATAAAAATTATTCATTGAAGCATTATTTGTATTAGCAAGAGAAGGGGAAAAAACATTCCTCAGAGACAGCCTGGTTAAATAAATCATGGTAACTTATAGTAAGTGAAAAAGAAAGAAGTAAGGTACAAAACAGTGTGTACAGAATATTGCTATTTGTGGAAAAAACAGGCTATTTGAGTGATTTTCTATGTATAAAATCTTAAAGGATACACAACAAAGTCATAGCTTTTTGATGTTGGTTGCTTCCAGGGCAAGAGAACTGGGTGGCTAGGGGACAGGTATAAGAGGGACACTTTTCACTGTATAGTATTCTATGCCTTCAGGTAACCTTGTAAATATATTACCTTTGAAAAACTATACAATGAAAAATGTTAAAATATTACAAAACTTTCATGTTTGTGGTGTACATATATTTTCTAAATATATAAAAATAAGAGGATCTGGAATGACGCATTCCAAACACCAAGGAGGTTTTATGCCTTAGAATGGGGAAGTGAGAAGTTAGATGAATGTGTGAGGTGGACATTTACCTTTTACTTTATATTGATTGAATTTTAAAATGAGATTTCACAATTACAAAAATCAAGCACATGTAAAAGGTCTTGTCCTATAGGGCTGGAAGCACTGGGCCAGAAGAGTAGGGATTTTTCTTTCTAATTTAATTATAAATGTATGAGAGGCTCAGTCCTGTTAAGTTGGTCTTGAGTCACATTGTTCCCTTGAGTCTTTCTGATGGATTGAAGTAGTAAGACCATGCCATTCAAGGACTCACAGTCTTGCAGTCTTATAACCACCTCTTTGGAGAATACCAAAATATCCCATATGAGAAGACCTATCTAAAAGGCAAACAGTATGAAAACAAAGGCAGTGGAGAGCCACTTTTATAACTCTCTCAAAAGTACAACCCACAAATCAAAAGTATATAATCTTCAATGGAATACTAGTCAGCTGTAAGAAAGAATGAAATCATGTCTTTTGCAGAAAGATGGATGGGACTGGAGGCTATTATCTTAAGCAAAACAACTCACACACAGAAAAACAAATACCTCATATTCTCACTCATAAGTGGAAGCTAAATAATGTGTGCACATGGATATAGACTGTATAATGATAGATAATAGAGACTGGTATGGTTGAGGGGGTGGGAGGTAGATGATGAGAAATTACTTAATGCATAATATATATTATTCAGGTGATGGATATTCTGAAAGCCTTGCCTACGCCTTGTGTAACCTATGCGTGTAATGAAACATTACTTGTACCCCATGAATTTATACAAATTGTTTTAAAAGAAAAAAACTGTTTAGTCTTACTTTGCAGACTATGCATATAATGAAGCCTTAATTGTACCCCATGAATTTATACAAATTGTTTTAAAAGAAAAAAACGTGTTTAGCCTGTAACACCTGTCTACATCATAGACTACTTGTGTGACTTTGGTTAATCAACTACCTCTGGTACTTAATCTACTATCCCTATCTTATTACCTATCTTAAAAATTTATTGAGAAAATAAAATGAAATAATATATGTGAAAGCATGTTGTAAACTCTAAAGTGTTATGTAAATTGTGTCATTATCACCTTTCAGTACCCAAAGTAGCAAAGATAATGACAACTGGCCAAAGTACTTTTCCCTACATTGTCATAAAGGACATTTCCTCCTTTACTTTGAGAAACACATGACAACTTTTAAGGTATGCAACTTGCAGAAAGTCTTTGTTTTAAAATTTGGCATTATGACTTGTTTCTGTCATTATATGGGAAAATAGAATTAACACTTCATAAAAATATCAGAGAATGCATGTTAATAGGAAAACAAAGTAAATATTTGTCATGGAGCTTTGTGTTTTTGAACTCTTAGAAATGGGTAAAAAGATAGTATAAACACTGATTTTTTTTTTTTTTTTAATTTCAGTTGTCTACCTCATACTCTACCATGCCATCTTTGTGTTCTTTACCTGGACCTACTGGAAGTCTATTTTTACACTCCCACAGCAGCCAAACCAGAAGGTAAGAATATTGGTTACTTCTTAAAGGACAAGAACAGAGAAAAGTAGAAATGACAATAAAGCAAGAAGAGGACAAAAGGAGGAGCAAATAAACTTCCATTACAAAAGAGTCAGGGTAATCTTAAAGAACTCCTAGTGATAAAGGTAAACTGAGGGTAGGATAGGCTATTGAAGGAATTTGGGAATCACCAGCTCTGGATATCTTTAATACTAGGAAACCAACTGGGTGCTGTGGCTCATGCCTGTATTCCCAACATTTTGGGAGGCCTACGTGGGAGAATTGCTTGAGGTCAGGAGTTTGAAACCAGCCTAGGCAGCAAAGTGAGACTCTGTCAATACACAGTATTTTAAAATTAGCTGGGCATGGTGGAGCACATCTGTGTTTTCAGCTACTCAGGAGGCTGAGGCAGGAGGATTACTTAAACCCAGGAGTTTGAGGCTGCAGTGAGCTGTGATGGTGCCACTACACTCCAGCCTGAGTGAGAGATTATCTCAAATTTTAAAAAGACTGGAAAACCACTACCTGCATTGGTGATATAATTAGAAAACAAGAACTTGCTTGGATTCTGAGGCCTCATCAAGTTTAATTTTATGAAACTACTATTTTGATACCAGTGTTTATTTTATTTATTTAGTGTTGTTCTTCCATGAGACTCTTGAAATACAACTCTGAAAAAAAAAGCACAATAGTTAAATCTATTATTGTCAGACTGTGTTATCTCGAATGCAGGTGTTTCATGCACTATTTGTAAGGATTTATGAAAGAATTTGTGATCATATCAGGCATTTATAATGTGTAACTACTCTAAACCAGGATAGATTACAAGTTAGAAATATAGCAATAGGGGAAACTTTCCAGCCTCCAAATAATAAGAAAAATACTGTCTCCTCAATGGAACAAAAATGATGCATAAGAACATTAAAATCAACTACAGAGAAAGGCAATAATGTAGGAATTGAGGAACATCAGAGATATGAGGTGTGAAGGAAATAAAGAGCAAAATGACAGAAGTTCTTCATAATAAGTAATTACTTGAAACATAAATGGATTAAACTATTCAATTAAAAGGTTGAGGTTGACAGAATGGATAAAAATTTGTGATTTACCTTTATGCTGTTTATACAAGGCTAACTTAAGAACTAGAGATAAAAATAGGTTGAAAATGAAAAGCTAGAAAAAGATATTCCTAGTAAATAGTATTCAAAACAGAGTAAGAGTGGCTACACTAATATCATACAACAGAGATTCTTTAAGTCAAAAAATGTTACAAGAGACAGAGTCAATTTATCAAGAATATGTAACAGTTGTAAAATATATACATGTAATAAGAGAGCCCCAAATAATAAGAAGCAACAACTCACAGAAGTAAAGAAAAAAATACACAATAACAGTTACACAGTAATAGTTGGAGACTTCAATACCCCATCTGCAATAATGAATAGAGTAACTAAACAGAAACTAAGGAAATGGAGGATTTGAACAACACCAAACCAGCTACATGTAACAAACCTATATAAATCACTTCACCCCAAAACAGCAGAATGTAGTTTCCTCCTAAGTATACATGGAATATTTTACAGTATAGACTGTATGTTAGGCCATAATACAAGACTCAATAAATTTAAAAGACTAAAATCATACAAATTATCTTCTCTGACTGCAGTGAAATGAAACCAGAAATCAATAACAGAAAGAAAACTATAGTTCTATAAGCGTGGAAATTAAACACACTCTTAACAAATGAATCAAATAAGAAAGGATAAGGAAAATTAGAAAATATTTTGAGATGAATGAAAACAAGAAAAAACATACCAGAAATTATAGGATGCAATAAAAAAACAGCACTCAGAGAAAAAATTTTGGCTGTAAATACCTACATTTAAAAAGGATAAAATTTTCAAAATAGTCTAACTTTACGTTTTGAAAAATAAAATAAAGAGCAAAGTAAACCAAAATAAACAGAAGGAAATCATAAAGATTGAACAGAAGTGAACAAAATAAGGAATAGAAAATAATACAGAGAACCAACAAAACCAAAAGTGAGAATCTAAAAAGATTAACAAAATTGGCAAACCTTTGTTTAGCTAGATTGAAAAGGAAAGAGGGAGGGAAGAGAAAGGAGAAAAGGAAAGAAGGAGGGAAGAGAGGGGAGAAGAGGAGAGAAGGGGAGGGAAAGAAGGAAGAAGAGGAGAGGAGAAAGGAAGGAAGGTAGGAGAAAAGAGAAAAAGGAATACAGGCACAAATTATATTAGAAAGGAAGGGAGGGAGGAAGAAAGAAACAGAGGAAGGAACAAAGGAAGATAAGGAGGGAGGAAAAAAGGAAGACGTAAATTACTAATATCAGAAGTGAAAGTGGAGATGTTACTACCAACTTTAAATAAATTGAATTATAAGAAAATAATATGAAGAATTGTGTGCCAACAAATTTGATAACCTAGATAAAATGAAAAAACTAGAAAGACATGAAACACCAAAACCAACTCAAAAGAAATAAAAAATCTGAATAGACATTTTAACAAGTAAAGAGATAGAATTAATAATCAAAAACCTACCAATAAAGAAAATCCAAGGATCAGATGGCTTCACAGATGAATTCTATCAAATATTTAAGGAATGATTAATATCAATCCTTTTCCAAATTTTGTAAAAAAAAAAAAAAAAAAGAAATAAAGAAAAGAAAGAAAGAAAGAAAAAGAAGCACTGCCTCTGGCCAGTGCAAATAGGCAAGAAAAACAAATAAAAGGCACTGAAATTGAACAGGAAGAAGAAAAATCACCTCTGTTTGCAGATATGATCTTACATATAGAAAACTGTGAATATTCCAAATTTAGAAAACCCTATTATAAATAATAATTAATTCAGCAAAGTTGCAGGATACAAAATGACCACATCATCACACAAAAATCAATTATGTTTTGATATGCTAACAATGAACAATCTGAAAGGAAACTAAGAAAGCAATTTCATTTATAATAGCACTAAAAATAATAAAATACTTAGGAATAAACATAACAAAAAAGGTGAAAGACTTGTAAGGTGAAAACAAAAAAAAGTCACTGAAAGAAATTAGACATGAATAAAGGGAAAAGTATCCTGTGTTCATGAATTGGAAGAGTTAATATTGTTAAAATGTAAATACTACCCAAATCAATCTACAGATTTAATGCAATTTATATCAAAATTCCAATGATTTTTTTTTTGCTGAAATAAAAAATTATTTTTGAAAATTTATATGGAATATCAAGAGATCCCACATAACCAAAACAATCTTGAAAAAGAATAAAGTTGATGTTTCACACTTCCTGATTTCAGAATTTACTACAAAGCTACAGTAGTCAAAACAATATGGTGCTGGCATAAGGACAGATATATAGACCAATGGAATAGGATAGATAGCCCGACAACAAACACTTGCGTATTTGGTCAGAAATGTTCAACAAGGGTGTTAAAAGCATTCTAATGGAGAATGCATAGTCTTCAACAAGTGGTGCTGGGAAAACTGGATGTCCACATACAAAAGAATGATGTGGGACCCTTACCTCACACCATATACAATAATTAACTCAAAATAGATCCAAGATCTAAACTTAAGAGCTAGGATTACAAAACTCTTAGAAAAAAACACAGAGCAATAATTTTATAACATTGGATTTGGCAATTTCTTGGATATGACACCATAAACACATAAAAAAGTAAAAATACATAAATTAGACTATATCAAAATTAAAATTTTTTATACATCAAAGGATAACATTCAACAGAGTGGAAAGGTACTCTGCAGAATAGGAGAAAATATAAGTCATATGTCAGATAAAGAGTTAATATACAGAGTTAATATAATTTAACAACTCCAACTAAACAAAAAAACCTCATTTTTTAAGAATAATTTCAGCTTTTATTTTAGGTCAGGGGTTACATGTGCAGATCAGTTTCAAAATGGGTAAAGAACTTGACAGTTTACCAAAGAAGGTATCTGAGTGCTCAAGAATGTATTGGGGTTCTCTAGAAAGACAGAACAAGTAGTATATATATCTATAGATAGATAGATAGAAGTTTATTAAAGTATTAACTCACACAATCACAAGGTCCCACAATAGGCCATCAGCAAGTTGAGGAGCAAGGAAAGCCAGTCGGAGTCCCAAAACTGAAGAACTTGGAGTCCAATGTTTGAGGGCAAGAAAGTTCCAGCACAGAAGAAAGATGTAAGCTTGGAGACTAGAAAAGTCTAGTCTTTTCACGTTTTTCTGCATGCTTTACATTAAGTGGCAGCTGATTAGATGGTGTCCACCCAGATTAAAGGTGGAACTGCCTTCCCAAACCCACTGACTCAAATGTTAATCTCCTATGGCAGCACCCATTTATGATAAAAGAAGTCCAATGTAATCAACCTGTCACCAGGTAGCTGGCTGATCACCCCGAGGAATGGTGCCATATTGAAGGCTGAGTGTTGGTCTCCGATACTGGCAAAATTGGGCACTCAGCAGTGGCCATAGCCAGATCAACCTTGATGAGTTGAAGTCCATAATTTTGAGCCCATATGTGACCTCTATACTTGCCACCACAGCCACTTTGTTCATGGGCCCATTGTGCGATTACAGGGGTGACTGGGGAAAGAGGCTGAATCATGTCCACAGAACAGGTTATCCTATCCACATGATTATTAAAATTCTCCTCTGCTGAGGTCACCCATTGGTGAGCACTCAAATGGGATACAAATATCTTTTTTTTTAATTGCATTTTAGGTTTTGGGGTACATGTGAAGAACATGCAAGATTGTTGCATAGGTACACACATGGCAGTGTGATTTGCTGCCTTCCTTCCCCCCAGCTACATCTGCCATTTCTCCCCATGCTCTCTCTCTCCATCTCCCTACCCCCATCCCCCCCCATTTCCCCCCAACGGACTCCAGTGTGTAGTGCTCTCCTCCCTGTGTCCACGTGTTCTCATTGTTCAACACCCACCTATGAGTGAGAACATGCGGTGTTTGATTTTCCATTCTT